CGTGGTTTATATTTGGTCTGCAGTCCCGCTCAGGCACAGGAGAAAATTCCTAAGAAACTGAGAGTGATCATAGCTCCTGATCATGTAATGTCATCATAAGAAGAATATTCAAAGAAACTTTAGGGACTTCCCTGGTGGTCCAGTGGCTAAGAATCCTTCTACCAATGCAGGGAACCCAGATTCAATCTCTCATCCAGGAAGTTCCCACATGCCGCAGGGCAATTAAGTCCTAGTCCCACAACGACTAAGCCAGCTCTCAAGAGCCTGTGCTCTGCAACACGGAGAAGTCACCACAATGAGAAGCCATCCTACTGCAACTAGAAAGGAGTCCCTGATCACCGCAACCACAGAAAGTCCATGCTCAGCAACAAAGACCTAGGGCAGCCAGAGTAAATAAATACTCCATACCTATCAGAATGGCTAAAATTAAAAACAGTGGCAACACCAAGTGGTGTGAATGGAGAAAAACTGACTCCCCCATATGTTCCAAGTGGAAATGCAAAGTTGTGCAGCCACTCTACAAAACAGTTTGGCAGTGTTATTTTTTTTTTTCCCCCGGGGGAGGTGTTGGGGGAGGTGAGAGCCTAAAAAAAAAAGAAGAAAAAGCTACACACACAGCAACCATATGACCTAGCAATTGCACTCTTGATCATATACTCAAAAAAACGCAATGATAACAGCCAAACCTGGAATCGGCCCAGAGGTCCTTCCACATGTGAATGGTTAAACAGAGCCTAGGTTCCACTCAACCCCATATACAAGGTGTCAACTACTGAGCCTTGTTCCACTAAATCCCCACAGAATTAGGCTAAGACTTAGGAAGTAGGGAAAAAAGGCCATTCCCAAAGATTGGGTGATTCCATTCCTGTAACTTATTTGAAATGACACGGTTTTATTTATTTTTTGGTTGCACCAGGTAGCATGGAGGATCTTACTGAGTTCAAAGGCCAGGTATGGAACATCCACCACCAGCAGTGGAAGTGTGAAGTCTTGACCAGACCAAGAAGGAGTCCCTAAAATGACAACATTTTAGGAACACAGGAAGCTGTTAGGGACAGAGGGCAGGGTGGTTATAAAGGGGCCTGGGGGTTGGAGCTGTTCAGTGTCCTGATTGTGGTGTGTTTACATGAACCCACACATGTGACAGATGGTACAGAATCCACACACACGCAAGTGAGTGCAGGTAAAACGGCAGACTTTGAGCAGAAATGTGAAAATCTGTGAGTCGGAGAAGACTGGAGAAAGCATGCAAGGGATGTCTATTACTTCTTAAAACCATGTGTGAATCTACAGTCATTTCATGACAAAAATTCACATTTAACAAAGGGATTGGGAATACACTGGACTGAAGACGAATCTTGGAGTAACAAAAACTTAACCTATGGACTGATCAAAAGAATCAGGCAATTAATTAAGGGCCTGCCTAGGAGTTAGTCCCTCCTGACACTTAGCCAAGAATTTTCTGAGCACAGGACTATGAGGGGGACAGAGGCAACTGTGGGGTAGGGAACAGAGGCAGGAAGGCTGCCCCCCACCCCCAGCAGGCAGGTCCCCTAAAGCAGGGGTCTCCAACCTTTTCGGCACCAGGGACCAGTTTCCTGGAAGATAAATTTTCCACAAACTAGAAAGAAGGGGGATGGTTTTGGGGTGATTCAAGTGCATTACATTTTACTGTGCTCTTTATTTCTAATCAAATTCCACCACTGACCTAATGGGAGGTACCAGTCCTCAGTCTGGAAGGGTTGGGGATTCCTGCTCTAGAAGGTAAGTAGAGGATACCCTGCGTCAGCGTGCTGAGTGAGTGGAACAGCAGGTCAAGGGAGGAGGAGCCCAGAGGCTCTGCCTGAGGGGATGGCACGCTGGGGAGGGGGCTACCAAGGTCCACTGGGGTGGGTGAGGCTTGCAGGAAGGAATTTTTTCTTTGGAAAAGAAATGTTTTTTTGACATGTACACATTGCTGTATTTATTTGCCTGCATGCTAAGTCGCTTTAGTGGTGTCCAACTCTTTGCGACCTTATGGACCATAGCAAATCCACCCCACCCCCCACCCCCCAGGCTCCTCTTCCCCTGGGATCTCCAGGCAAGAATACAGGAGGGGGTTGCCATTTCCTCCTCCAGGGGATCTTCCCGATCCAAGGATTGAACTCATGTCTCTTAGGTCTCTTGCATTGGCAGGCGGTTTCTTTACCACTAGCACCACCTGGGAATTATTTATTATAGGCTGTGCTGGGTCTTCCTCGCTGCACACAGGCTTTCTCTAGTTGCAGGTAGTGGGGCCTACTCTCTGGTTGAGGTGCACAGGCTTCTCGTTGCAGTGACTTCTCTTCTTGCAGATCAGAGGCTCTAGTGGAGCAAACTCTGTAGTTGTGACTTGCTGGCTTTAGGGCGGGAAAGCTTCAGTAATTGCATCATTGGGGTGCATTATTTGGGACTTCGAGGCTCTAGAGGGGCAAGCTTCAGTAACTGTGGAGCACAGCCTAAGTAGTTGTGGCTCATAGGCACTAGAGTACAGGCTCAGTAGCTGTCTCATCCAGGTTTAGTTGCTCCAGGGCATGTGAAATCTTCCCGGACCATGGATCGAACCCATGTCCCTGGCATTGGCAGGCGGGTAGATATTATCCACTGTGCCACCAGGCAAGTCTGAGAAAAGATTTCTGATTAAAAAAAAATTATGTAAATTTTACCATCTTGGGACTTAGCCTGCGGTCCAGGGGTTAAGATTCCCCACTTCCACCACTTGGGGCAGGTTCCATCCTTTCTGGAGGAACTAAGATCCTGAATGTCTGGCTATGCAGGAAAAAAATGAAAACTTAAAAAGGGAGAAAAAAGTTACCTTCTTCACCACTCTTATGACCCAGTTCAGTAGTGCTGTCTTTTCATATGGTTGGCCACAGAGCTCCAGAACTTTTTCATTTTGAAAACTGAAAGTCTGTATCTGTTAAACAAGTCCCCAGTCCCCTCTTCCCAGTTCCGGGAGGCCACCATCCAACTTTCTATTTCTATGCATTTGACTACAAGAGCTACCTAGTGAAGTAGAATCACATAGCATTTGTCTTTTTCGTGAGTGGTTTTTTTCACTGCATTATGTCTACAAGGTTCACTCATGGTGTAGAAAGTGTCAGACTTTCCTTCCTTTCTAAGGTTGCATAATATTCCATTGTAGAGCTGTATCACACTTTGTTTATCCATTTGTCTGCTGTGGATGGTTGAGGACGCCTGCACCTCTTGGCTACTGTGAATAATGCTGCTATAAACATGGGAGTGCAAATACCTCTTCCAGATCCCGCTTTCAATTCTTGAGGATACACAGACAGAATTGGGATTGCTAGATGGGAGGAATGCTTTTGAACCTAACCTGGGGTTACTGAAACCTCTTAGCTCTTTAAGATGAGCTACACTTGTGAGTGTGTAAATGACCTGTGGAGAGAATAGACTCGCCTTTGCCTTCCATCTATCTGTCCAAAGAAGAGGAGGTCAACGCCACGTACTGAGCACTGGGCCACCCCTGCCGGCCCTTTACAGGCACCTTACACACAAATAGGGAGAAATATCAGCAACCTCAGACATGCAGATTATACTACACTTAAGGCAGAAAGCAAAGAGCAATTAAAGAGCCTCTCGATGAAAGTGAAAGAGGAGAGTGAAAAAGTGAAAAACTCAACATTCAAAAAACAAAATCATGGCATCTGGTCCCATTACTTCATAACAAATAGATGGGGAAACAATGGAAACAGTGACAGACTTTATTTTTTTGGGCTCCAAGATCACTTCAGATGGTGACTGCAGTCATGAAATTAAAAGACACTTGCTCCTTGGAAGAAAAGCTATGACTGACCTAGACAGCATATTAAAAGGCAGAGGTATTACTTTACTAACAAAGGTCCATCCAGTCAAAGCTATGGTTTTTCCAGTACTCATGTATGGATGTGAGAGTTGGACCATAAAGAAAGCTGAGTACCAAAGAATTGGTCCTTTTGAGCTGTGGTATTGGAGAAGACTCTTGAGAGCCCCTTGGACTACAAGATCAAACCAATCAATCCTAAAGGATATCAGTCCTGTATATTCATTGGAAGGGCTGATGCTGAAGCCGAAGCTCCAATACTCTGCCACCTGATGCGAAGAACTGACTCATTGAAAAAGACCGTGATGCTCGGAAAGATTGAAGGCAGGAGGAGAAGGGGATGACAGAGGATGAGATGGCTGGATGGCATCACTGACTAGATGGACATGAGTTTGGGCAAGCTCTGGGAGTCAGTGATGGCCAGCATGCTGCAGTCCATGGGGTGGCAAAGAGTCAGACATGACTGAGCAAATGAACTGATTGACTGCACACAAACATCAGTGCTCACCCAGCCCGGCCTCCGGTAATTAAAACAAAGACAAGGCCCCGGCCCTGCTGTCACCTCCAGCCGCGTCATTCTCCATGGCAGAGGGGCCCCATCTAGCCCAGTGCCCACCCTACCAGCCCAGGTCAAGCCTGCCGAGAAGTAGAGTGTCTCTCTGCCTCAGGAAACCAAACCTAGGGCTCCAGGCCCAGGCTCTGTGCTTCCAAGTTCACCTCCCTCAGCACCCAGCACCAACGCTGAGTCTCAGAAAATACACACGAGAAGGAATGAGAAATGGTTCTCCCACAGGACTTGGTGAGCAGAGGGCTGGGAGGAGCCTCAGTCAGGACCTTGAAAATGTGCCTCAGGCCTAAGACTTCTGCATGGTAATCCCCACCCCACCCTGAGGAGATGAGACAGCTGGGGACCATCCTGTGAGGGAGGGACCTGTATCCTCAGGACTCCTGCTGGCTCAGCCACACCCACCAGGTCCCTCTGGCAACAGGGCTCAAAGTCATAGGGCAGGTGAGGGGCAGGGTGTGGCCACCCGGGGCACTGGGAGGGACACTGGGAGACTTTTATAGCAGGGAATTAAGCCCAGGCAGCCAGCGCTGCAGCTTGTAACCTGTGTCCCAGCCTTGCCTGAGACCCAGCCTCCCCAGGTCCCATCCTGACCCTCCGCCATCACACAGCCATGCAGGGGGCCTGCCTGCTGCTGCTGGGCCTGCGGCTACAGCTCTCCCTTGGCCTCGTCCCAGGTAATCAGGCAGCTCCTGGCGCCCCCCACTCACAGGGGGCCGCCCCAGGCTGACCTGACCTCCACTCTCCCCTTGGGCAGTTGAGGAGGAAGACCCCGCCTTCTGGAACCGCCAGGCAGCCCAGGCCCTTGATGTGGCTAAGAAGCTGCAGCCCATCCAGACAGCTGCCAAGAATGTCATCCTCTTCTTGGGGGATGGTGAGTGTGCTAGGCTGGTCCACCCCCTATCCCTCCACAACCCTGGAACCCTGGGCTGCCGGCTGACCCAGGCTGGCCCCAGGGACTTAGACCTGACACAGTGTGTACCTTCAGGGATGGGGGTTTCCACGGTGACAGCCGCTCGGATCCTAAAGGGGCAGATGGATGGCAAGCCGGGACCTGAGACACCTCTGGCCATGGACCAGTTCCCCTNCCAGGGAGCCCAGTATGTGTGGAACCGCACGGCGCTCCTTCAGGCGGCCAATGACTCCAGTGTAACACACCTCATGGGTAACGACCCGACCCTCCCCCACTGTCCTCCCCAGGAAGGGTGCCACGGGGCCCCCACTCCCATCCCCAGCTTGCAGGTCACCACTGGTCCCATTTCCCACAGGCCTCTTTGACCCGGGAGACATGACCTATGACATCTACCGAGACCACACCAAGGATCCATCCCTGGAGGAGATGACGGAGGCAGCCGTGCGTGTGCTCAGCAGAAATCCTCGGGGCTTCTTCCTCTTCGTGGAGGGTGAGTAGCAGCTCCTTGCGGTTCAGAGGGGAAAGGCGTGGCACTCAGGGTGGTTTTGGCATCACCCACCTTCCACATGACCTTCTTGCAGGAGGCCGCATCGACCATGGTCACCATGAAAACATAGCTTATCGGGCACTGACGGAGACGGTCATGTTCGACAATGCCATCGCCAAGGCTAGCCAGCTCACCAGTGAAGCAGACACACTGACCCTCGTCACCGCCGACCACTCCCATGTCTTCACTTTCGGTGGCTACCCACTTCGTGGGACCTCCATTTTTGGTAAGCCAGGGATAGTGTCAAGTTCTTGTCCTAAGTTATGTTGCACAAAGTGCTCTTGAGTCAGCTCCCTCATCTGCAGAGTGGAGTAATATTAATAATAGCAGCTGCCCTGCCTGGCTCTGCTAAGGATTAAGCCAGCGAACAAACAAGAAGTGCCTGAGCTCAGCACCCAGGAGGCACCTCAAAGGATCGGGTCAGTGTGATCACGGGGTCCCCTCCTCCCTGCAGGGCTGGCGGATGGCAAGGCCAATGACCGCAAGTCCTATACCACCCTCCTCTATGGCAACGGCCCAGGGTACCGGCTGAACATGGGCTCACGACCTGACGTGAATGAAAAGCAGAGCGGTGAGTGCAGTGGGTGGGCCCTGGGGAGCAAGGGAGCAGGGGCGGTGGGAGGAGGGAAGACCCTACTACGGAACTCCTGGGAGGGGGAGGCTGCCTCCTGCCTTCCCTGAATCCTCTCCCTCCTCTCAGTGGATCCCGAGTACCAGCAGCAAGCCGCCGTGCCCCTATGGAGCGAGACCCATGCTGGTGAGGACGTGGCAGTGTTTGCACGAGGCCCGTGGGCACACCTGATGCACGGCGTGCAGGAGCAGACCTTCGTGGCGCATGTCATGGCCTTTGCTGCCTGCGTGGAGCCCTACACCACCGACTGCCACCCTCAGCCCCCCAGCGGTCCCTCGGACACCGCCCACCAGGCTGCCTGCCCATCCTCACTGGCACTGCTGGCCGGGGCCCTGCTGCTGCTGCTGGTGCCCACCTTGCACTGACCCCCACCCACCCGGGCCTCAGGGCCTCCTCCCCACGCCCAACCTTAGTGGGCCCAAACCACCCTGGAAGCTGAGATCCTGACTTTCCTGTGAGAGCCACAGTCCTCGGTGCCCCAGACCTCGGTGGCCTCAGCTATTTTGAGGAGCTGCCCCATATTCAAGGATATTCCAGGCAGGGCCTCAGACTACCCAGTCTCTTCTCCCCACCCAATAGCCCTGGCTGAGGACCAGGCTGCTGGCACCAGAGGTGTCCCCCACAGCAGACCAGGACCTACCAGACCCTCACTGGGGGCTTCCAGGGGGTGTGGTTTCTGGTTGCCTGACTTCCGGGAGGTGTAGCTCCCAGGGAGCTGTGGCTTCTCATCCTCCTGGAACCCACCCTGCGGGCACCTTGCCAGCCAAAGAGACGTCTGGGGCCAGGCGTGCCGGGTGGCCCTCGACACAAAGTCTTCAGCGGCCCCTCCTAGGAAGCCAGCGGTACCATTACAGAGAAGAGACAGCGACACAGAGGAGAGACTTGTCCCAGGTCCCTCAGCTGCTGTGAGGGTGGCCCCGGTGCCCCTTCCAGGCTGGGGGATCCCAGGAGCAGCAGGGGAGCTGGGGGTGGGGACACAGGCCCCACACTCCTGGGAGGGAGGAAGCAGCCCTCAAATAAACTGTTCTAAGTGTGATACAGGAGTGATGTGTGTGGGAAGAGAAGCCCTTAGCAGGTGGGGGCACAGAGTGTGTGTGTGAGGGGGCTGGTGAGTCACATCAGGAGGTCAGGGAGGGGCTGATGAGAGGCTGACACTGAGCAAAGACTAAAGGCAGTGAGAGTGGGAGCGACACAGGTGCAGGGGCCCCAAGGGGGTGTCAGCAGAGCCAGGTGAGGCCAGCATCAGGACCAGTTGGGAGCAGCAGGGCAGGTAAAGAAGGTCAAAGCTGAGGGAATGGGAGGATGGGGGAGGAGCTGAAACTTCATCCAGAGTGTGGGAGGGGAATGGAAGGCTGTGAGCACGGACATAACAGGACTGGATGACTCTAGAAAATATCATGCTGGCTACTGAGAAGGGCGTGACAGAGGATGAGATGGTTGGATGGAATCACCAAATCACGGGACATGAGTTTAAGGAAGCTCGGGGAGGTAGTGAAGGACAGGGAAGCTGTATTTTTGTTTGAAGGCTGATGGATGGGGTGGGCATGGGGCAGAGGCGGGAGCCGGGGAATCAGAGAGGAAGTACAAGTGAAAGTGGAAGTTTCACATTTCTTCCTTTCTTTTGACTGTGTTGGGTCTTTGTTGCTGCTAGTGGCCTCTCTCTGGTGGTGAGTGGGGGTTACCGTCTAGCTGAGATGTGAGGGCTTCTCGTGGCGGCTTCTCTTGTTGCAGAGCACAGGCTCTAGGGTGGGTGGGCTTCAGTAACTGCAGTTTGTGGGCCCAGTTGTATCACAGTCTGTGGGATCTTCCCAGACCATAGATTCAATCCCTGTCCCCTGCACTGGCAGTCGGATCCTTAACCACTGGACCTCAAGGGAAGTCCCTAATATTTCTGAGCTCTAAAAACATTCCAGGGCAACCACTCCAAAAAAACTACACTGATTGCGTATATAACTCATCCTAAAGGGAGTATTTCAAAGAATTTAAAAGGGTGAAAACAGCCATATTTTCCAATAAATTTTACACAGTTACAAATTTCTTTGTACATTTCCAAAGTTGCAAGAAAGCATTTTGCCTCCACTAGAAAAGTTAATATGACTGAGTATGCTTCCTTATTTACTGAACTTTTGATTTAGCAGTATAAAACATCGATTTGAAGGCCAGGCTCTCAGGGCTATTTACTGAAACTCTGGGTTGTTGTTTAGTCACTCAGTTATGTCTGACTCTTTGTGACCCCATGGACTGTAGCCTACCAGGCTCCTCTGTCCATGGGATTCTCCAGGCAAGAATACTGGAGCTGGTTGCCATTTCCTTCTCCATTATGTTTCATAAATGCATTCAAAACCTAAGGGAACTCTGCATTTTTAAACCACAGGTTTTAAAAGCAAATTATTCTGGAATTCATGGTGAGCTCTGTACAATTTTGAATATCCCAACACCACTGAACTGTACACTTGAAAAGGGTGAATTTTGTGGTATATAAATTATACCTAAATGTTAAAAAGTTTCTGTTTCCAAGTTTTTTTCTAAATATATAAGCATGAGGGATTTTATTAGCCAAACACCATGTTGACCACAGGATCATGAACAAGTTCTCAAGTATCAGTTTGTTAAAAGTCTTGATCTTGAAGAGGCAGATGCAGGGGAATTATGCTTACTTTTCCAAATTTTATTGCGTGCTCGAGATGGATAGCGCTTGTCACTTCAAGAACTCTCAGCACATGGATCTTTAAGAAAGAAAGGGAGTCAGGAAGAAAGAGGGCAGGAGGACTCATGCCAGCCCCCTTCAATACCTTGCTAACATGGCTTATAATGTGGGGTTGATCTGGAACATTCTCAAGGTCACCCCCAATCTCATTACCAAGTATTTACCAAGTATCTACCAAGTATCTATCATAAAGCTTCTCCTTTACTCGGACAGTCTTGGTTTTTAAAGTTAACACCACCAATTGCTTCCCTCATAGCTCAGTTGGTAGAGAATACACCTGCAATGCAGGAGACCCCAGTTCCATTCCTGGGTCAGGAAGATCTGCTGAAGCAGGGATATGCTACCCACTCCAGTATTCTTGGGCTTCCCTGGTAGCTTAGATGGTAAAGAATCTGCCTGCGATGTAGCAGACCTGGGCTCGATCCCTGGGTTGGGAAGATCCCTTGAAGAAGGGTAAGGCTACGCACTCCAGTATTCTGGCCTGTAGAATTCCATGGATTGTATAGTCCATGGGGCCACAAAGAGTCGGACACCACTGAGCAACTTTCACTTTCACCACTGATGGCTCCTACAGCATTTCATGTGCTCTCAAGGTTTCTGGATCTTCCCTGCAATGGTTGACCATGGATGGACCAATGAGTGAGCTGGGCAGGTTCTGCTGCCTCTGCAGCTCTTATCATCCAGAATCCTTTAACATCACGTCCTATGGAGTAGCCGTTCCATCAGTGGGTGCACTTACAGTGTTTGCTCCAAATGACAGTTTTTGTTAAACAGACAATGAACTGTTGAAATCATATATTCCCTGCTATATCTTACCTCTAGTGGCTCACTCACACAAAAAAAGAAAAATCTGGTCTGCGTCTTTCATTATTGGAACAGAATCCAGCAAATACCTTAAGCTGAGATGTGTAGAAACACCTGCGCTTTCAGCCAACTGTTCCTCCCACAGAGTAATTTGCTCTGGCACTTTTATTTTCTTTCAGTCTACAGCAGTGTTTTTTCTACATCTTCCAACAGTAATCATTGCTGAAGAAATGCCTTTTGGTTTTTGGAAAAACCATTTTCTGTTCACTGTTTCTGCCATTTTTACTGCAGCAGAAAGAATAAATATTTGCCTGGTGTTAGGTGCTTTTTGTCTTATGCTATTATGTAAGAAACTTTAAAAGAGCCTTCCAAATATTCATCAATGCATAAATCAAAAATACTAGTGGAACAGCACATCATTTTAAACATCATTGGAAAAGAACTCTGTGTCTGTCTTCATGTTGGGATAGCTTAGTTTTTGAATGTCTTTCTAAACAGGAGGGTTTCTTGCTGTTATTGAGAACACCTCAAATTGTGCAGAGCAAACTTCCCCCAAGCAGCAAGCTCAGAGAGGTACTGGGGTTGGGAGGGGCTCACAAACACCAGAGGAAGGGCACAGGCCTAGGTACAAAGGCTGGAAACCACCCGGAGTCCCCAACAGCGAGTGCGCCTGGGGCCTGGCCTCTCTGCGCCACGCAGAGTTGGACGAGGGAGAAGGCTCCCAGCGGCCACCAGCCACTGTAGACACCGTCCGTCCATCACCGTCCCCTGCCCACGCACACGTGCCCGCTGCAGGCTGGGGAGACCCCTGTAATACAGCGCCGGGCACCGGGCCTGGCACATACTAGGCCGTCAATGAAAGCCTGTTTTCTCTGCGTTTCCTGTCCCGGACCTGCTACAGAGAAGGCCAGATTGGGGGAGAGGGGAAGCGGAGGCCGGGAAAAGGAGGTGTGGTCAGTGCGGCGTCTATGTGGCCCCTGAAGCCGCCTTCAGCTTTCCGCACTGGAACCAGACGCTCAAGAAAGAGACTCGAGAACCAAACTTTGTCCTCGCGGCTGTCCGCAGAGCCATCCCCGGCCCCGTC